GTGATGATGCCGTAAGAGTAACTAACATTTTTGAGTGTTTGATTTGTGGCAGACACTGATTTTAAAGCTTTATGTGAGCAATATCACTTAATCCGAACAGTAGTCCTGTGAGGCATGTACTTTCGTCATTTCCTTGTTTTTAAAGAAACTGATCATTAGGGACATCAAATAAGGCAGGAGCCTCCTTTGAAAGAGGAAGTGGGATTATAACTTGGCATTTGAAAAGCTATATTGGAAAGCAGCTTGGCATTTTCTTAAAAAGTTAGACACACTGCCCATTGGACCCAGCCATTCCACTTCAAGGTATTGACCCGAGGGACAGGAAATGTGTCTGTACAAAAACTTGTACACAAATGTTAATAGCAGCTTTATTTGTAAGAGTCAAAAACTGGAAACAACTCAGATGTTCATCGTCAGGTGAATAGATACATAAATTGCGATATCTCTGTATAACGGCATACTGAGAAATAAAAAAGTAGGAGTTATTGATTCATGCAGCAACATGGATGAATCTCAAAATAATTATGCCGAGTGAAAGGAGTCAGACATGATTTCACTTATATAAAACTTAGAAAATGCAAATCCATGGTGACAGAAAGCAAATCAGTAGTTACCTGGGGCAGGGGTAGGAGGAGGGAGGGAATGATTACAAAGAGACCCGAGGACACTGGGGGGATGAGATGTTCACTGTCTTGAATGTAGTAATGGTTTTGTGGGTGTGTACGTCAGTCAGAACTCAGCGTAACTCCTGTACGACTTGGCTACAAGTCTGAGGTGCCCATGCCTCCATCCTCCTGGGATTTGATTATTTGCTAGAGTGTCTCACAGATCTCAGGAAAACATTTATGTTACCAGTTTATTAAAGGATGTCATGATATCTGAACAGCCAGATGAAGAGCTGCACAGGGTGAGGTCTGGGAGGATCCCATCACAGGAGCATCTGTGCCCATGGAGTCGGAGTGCATCACCCTTCCGGGGCGTGGATGTGCTCCCCCTCCTAAGAGCACTTTGAACCCCATACTGTTGGGTCTTATGAAGGCTTCATCCTGTGGGCACAATCTGTCCACTCTTCTTCTGGCTCTCTCCCCTCTCTGGAGGATGGAGATGGGGCTGGAAATTCCAAGCTTCTGATCATGGCTTATTCCCCCCCACCACCCCTGTGCCATCCAGGAGCCCACCAAGAGTCATCTCATTACAATAGAAGACACTGCAATTATTCTGATATTTAGAGAGACTGTCAGGATCTGGGGTCAGAGACCAAATATTAGAACAAGAAATGATCCTGTTGCTCTTATCACTCAAGTAATCACAAGGGTTTTAGGAGCTCTCTGTGCCAGGAACCAGGAACAGAGACCAATATTCATACTTTCTGTTATCTCACAGCAGACCTCACCTTGAGAAACACTGAAATGGATTTTCTTAGGGGAACATAATTCACGTTAATTCATGAGTCAAGGCTTTTCATTGCTATTTATCACATGATTTACCCCAAATAATAGGTTTCACACACAGCAAATATAATAAAATACAGCATACCTTGTGCATGGAGCACTTGATCAGCTGTACTATCTCAGTGCTCATGCTGTATACTGGCCTGGAGTTGCTGATGAACTAGCATATGAGATCAGTTCAGTCCCAACATGCAGCAGCTGTGGAGAAGTTACGATGAGTTTGACTGATGTACGCTGAGCTTTTGGTGTTAGCTGAAGCAGTCTTCCCTGTGGTTAGAGCAGTGGTTCTAAATGGCTGGTCTCCACCTGGGAACTTATTAGAAATGCAGATTCTTGAGTCCCATCCCAGGCTTAATACATCGGAAACTCTGGGGATGTGGCCCGGCAATCGGTGGTTGAAGGTGATTCTGATGTACGCTAAATTTGAGAACCCCTGGGTTAGAAGACCAAATGTATAGGAAGACTGAAAATTAGGTAGCTTTCACTTTTGTCATTTTGCCTAGTTCTGTTGAAGCTAAATAATCTAAACCAATTTGCATTTTTCCTACCATTTAAGGACTGTTAAGTTAAAATAACGGAGTTGGGAGAGTGTCAAAGATCTGAAAGTTCTTAGATCTCAGATCTTGGCATTAAGATGGTTTTAGGATTTGCATCCTATCTGGGATATTGTCAGCAAGAGAATAAATAATTGGACAACAGAAGTCTGTTACTGTCTAAAACTTCCATTGCTTGTTTTAATTCTGAGGATCAACCTTTGCAAAGTCGCTATCAAAGTAGTGACTGTTTCTTTGATGCAGGAGTTGACTTTTATAAAGAAAATCTTTTATTTTACTTTTCAAACTTCTTTTCTTTTAGGAGATTTGGAATAATAGGACTCTACAAAGGCCTTGAAGCCAAACTGCTGCAGACAGTCCTCACTGCTGCTCTCATGTTCCTTGTGTATGAGAAACTGGTGGCTGCTACCTTCACAGTTATGGGACTGAAGAGTGTATACAAGCACTGAGACACCTTACCCTGCAGAGTGAGGACAGGTGCTCAAGATGGGGGTTTCTTTCTGTGCGAAGAGAAGTGATTCTGTTTTTTACTCTTGCTCTTCCCACCGTGAATTTTTACCCTTGTTGGCTTTAAAAGTATTTAAGGGTAAATACAGAGGATAGCCAACTGAACCTGTCACCAACTTAATTTTTATGATGATTGGTTGAATTTTGTGGGGGAGGTTGGACTGGTGGTCATATGAAGAGAAAGCATTATTGAAAACCTAAAATTTAAAGTTTGTAGGATTGATTAGTTTTAATGAACTATTAAGAAAGAATGGACTATTGCTCTCATGTGTAATATTTTCTAGTTAAAATCTTTCTTAAATTTACCAACTGTTCGCTTTCCCTAACCTCTCCCCCAGGTTCTAGAACAAATTTTATGCCATGAAATTCTCCTCATATGCCTTTTATGTGTTAATCTTGTTATTTTCCTCACTGAAAATAATATGACTATGTCATGAGAGCATGATTTTATTTTTGTTGGATTTTTTCTGCTTAAGGAAAAGTGTCTTCTTTAGTACATGAGCTATTTATTTGGGGGGAGAAATTAAAATTATTAATCCCAAATGATTCTCTTATAAACTATTTGTAAACATCACTTATTCGTTAGTATTTGACATAATTTTAAAATATTTATTTTGAATCAATTCTTTGATTACGAAAGGCTTGAAGTTTTATGTTTATCCAAACATGCCTCAATCAAGTCAAGCCCCAATAAATTGTCAGCACCTTTATTAAGGTATTATATTAGATTGACAACTACCTGGTAAAAATCACAGAAAAGGGGAAGGGAACAAATATCTTGTTTAGGCTCTGGAATATTATCTCCCTTTCCAAACTCTTGGAGGAGGCTGTATTTTTTTTTTTATAATAAACATCTGATTGAGATTATTTCTATTCGGAAATATTCCTTAGAGTCCTCTACTCAAAGTGTGGTGTGTCAAGCAGTAGCATTGAGAGCTGGTTGAACATGTAGGCCCAGAGCTTCTGAATTATAGTCTGCATTTTAACAAGATCGATAGGTGATTCATACTCACATGAAAGTTGCAGAGACCTTAGCACACCTGACCTAACAGAGGATATGATTGCTTTCAATTATGGAAACCAAGACAAAGATTTTTCTCAAAGGAAAGATGAACTAATATATTAAAACAACCTCTGAAAAAACTGGGAGTCCTATGTCATTTACTTTTCCCTCATAGCACAGGTTAAGGTGGTAGGACTTGTAGTATGTAGCTAGGAGGGAATTAGACATCTCAAGCCACTCAAGAAACAAACTCTTGACATTAGTAAACTAGTTTTTTTGGTTCCTATGACTTAATTTTTATCCCTATAACAAAATGACAGGCTTTTTATGTATAAATATAATTCACTCAGAGAGAATAATAATGAAGTATCTGTGGACTGGAATTTCATTTTAAGAGTAGAAATGTCTCTTATTTTTCCTGTGGCCACTTTGGAAATTTCAAAATATGTGATTATCAAACTAGTAATAATCTATATTATAAAAGGCCAGTGACTGTAACGCAGTAACGACCAAACGACCGGTCCAAGAGGTGCATTGATGGGTCTGGGTCTTGCGTGATTTCGCGCGCTGGGCCTCTAGTTGAAAGATCATTGTGTTGTTCTAGAAAACAAGAATTGGGAGGAGCTACTAACTAGGGACTAAACTGAATACTCATCCTCTATTTAAAACAGAATGGTAGGCAGAATTGGCCCATTACTACTTTTTATTATACTTAAGGTTTCTGAGTATCTGTGGTGGGGCTTGGGTGGGAAGCACAGAATTGATTTTGATTTTTATGCAGGAGAAGAATGATCATAACGGGGCCATGTGTACTTTTGTTTTTGTTTTAATTATACAGTTCACTTTGGAACTTGAATTTTGAGCTCAGGGTATTGTGAAATGGTATGTTTGCATAGTTTCCAAGTCAAATTTTATAGTTACTAGAGGCCTGGTGCACGACATTTGTGCATTCAACCCAGCCTGCGCCCTTTCACAGTCTGGGAGCCTTGGAGGATGTCTGACTGACGGCTTAGGCCCGCTCCATAGGGAGCGGGAAGCGGCACTCCCCCATGTAGGAGCACACTGACCAGCAGAGGGCAGCTCCTGCATTGAGTACCTACCTGCGTTGAGCGTCTTCCCCCAGTGGTCAGTGCGCGTCATAGCAACTGGTCATTCCGTCATTTGGTTGATTTGCATATTACCCCTTTATTATATAGGATGTTGAGTTTTTATGATGTGAGAATGTATTTGATGTTTTTTTCTGATTTTGTGAGGGAACAACTTAATATTGAGGTTTTATGTTCCCTTACATACTCACTAGTTGAAACTTAGGTAATGACTTGCCCAGTTTAATAATCTTTGATTAATAAGGTATTTGAGAAAACTAGAGTTGTGAAATTGAAATTTTTCTTTTTGATTCTTTGTGCAGTTTCTCTAGAGTGTGAGCATTAAGAGCCTTAGAGATTATATAAGTGTCACTGCAGTAGAAAATTTAATTTCTGTAAGTATTTAATCTGGGTTTTGAATTGACATGAAAATTTCTACCCATGTCTATTTTACAGTTGTTTGAAACACAAATAGGATTTCCCATAAGAACATAAGCAGTGGGAGTTAGAATCTTGGGTTTTATTCCCAGCTCTGCCGCTGACTAGCAAATTACATCATCTCTTTGTGCTTCAGCTTTTTGATAAGTGGAGATAATAATACTCACTACCCACTTTAGAGGATGTTTGAGAGCTAATGATGTCAGCTAAATCCCTTTATGATCATGGGAGAGGAAAGAGGGAAGATCCCTTTATGATCATGGGAGAGGGAAGATCTGAGTGAAACTTGTGACAGTGCCTAGATTTATAAAGCAATTTTCCTTCTTAAAGCTTATACACGTTCTCATTTTATGATCCCAATATCTCTGTGAAATAGGTAGGGACAAATAACAATATCCCCATTTAATTAACAAGGAAATTGAACTATCAAATGACTTGCCTGGTTGGAGCCAGAACTAGAGTGAGTATCCTGTAGTCTAAAGTAGTGATTAAAAGAATGGGTTCTAAAAAAAAAACAAAAAAGAATGGGTTCTGGAATTAGTTCAACTCTGGTCCTGTTTCTTACCAGCTATGGGAACAAAGTAATTACTGAACTTGTATAAAAATTCGTTTCCTCAACTGTGAAATAGAGATCTTGATAAAACTACCTCACAATGTGGTTGTGAGGATTAAATAAGATCATATAAATTGTTTAACACGGTGCTTGCCACATGAGAAGAACTAGATAAATGTTAGCAATGACTGCTATTATATTAGAGGCCTGGTGCACAAAAATTCATGCACTTGCGGGGGGAATCTCTCAGCCAGGCCTGCGCCCACGACCCCTCAGGAGATGACCAACTTATGGCTTAGGCCTGCTCCCCAGGGAGCAACCCAGGAGCCCTCAGGGGATGTCCAACTAACAGCTTAGGCCCACTCCCCCTGAGCGGGCCTAAGCCGGTATTCAAACATCCTTAGCGTTGCCATGAAGGCAGGAGAGGCTCCCGCCACCACCACTGTGCTGGCCAGCCATGAGCCGGCTTCTGGCTGAGCGGCGCTCCCCCATGGAAGTACACTGACCACCAGAGGGCAGCTCCTGCGTTGAGCATCTGCCCCCTGGTGGTCAATGCGTGTCATAGCAACTGGCCGTTCCCGGTTGTTCTGCCTAGGGTCAATTTGCATATTATCCTTTTATAGGATGGGTGAGGGATATGGCTGTGTGGATAGATATGGTTCAGTGAAAAGCACTCTGCATTTTGAACCAGATCTGGATTCAGATTTCCATTCTACCACTTAATAGTATCACAGCCATGGACTAGTCACTCTGTGCACCAGTGAGGTCGCTCAGCCAGGCCTGCACCCTCTTGCAATCTGGGACCCCTCGGAGGATGTAGTAGTGCAAGAAGCAGCAGGCGACCAGGGAGGAGCCGAGCTTGGGCGTCTGAGTTGACGCCCTCATCTGCCCAATAGCAATGCTTTTATATATCACTCAGCCTTGTGAGGCAATCATTTCTGTTGGACAAATGAGGACATACCTATATATACAAAAGCCTAAGTGACCAAACGACCGGTCACTATGACGTGCACTGACCACCAGGGGGCAGATACTCAACACAGGAGCTGCTCAGTTGACCTATGGGTGCCAGATTCTGTGGGGCTCATGATTGGCAAGTGCAGCTGCAGTGGCATGAGCCTCTCCTGCCTCCACGGCAGCACCACTGGGCGGTGGCGGCAGGCACTGCGGGGCCAGGATGAGCAGGAGAGGCACGGCGCCCGGCCCAAGCTTGGCTCCTCCCTGGTCGCCTGCTGCTTCTTGCACTAGTACATCCTCCGAGGGGTCCCAGATTGCGAGAGGGTGCAGGCCTGGCTGAGCAACCTCACTGGTGCACAAATCCATGCACCAGGCCTTGTATGTATATAAGTGTGTGTGTGTGTGTGTGTGTGTGTGTGTATCCATCTGGCTAAGTACATGACATACATGGGCTTAATAAATTCTGCTTTTCTTCATTAAAATAGTGACATATAACATTTTCAGGTGTACAACATGATTTGATATATGTGTATATTGAAAAATGATCACCGCAATAAGCCTAGTTAGTATCTATTACTAAAATATCCATTGGATAGCCCTGGCCAGTGTGGCTCAGTTGATTGGGTATTGTCCCATGCACCAAAAGGTTGCTGGTTCAATTCCTGATCAGGGTACATGCCAGGTAGGGGGCCTGCAAGAGGCAGCTAATCAATATCATTCTGCTCTCACCTTGATATTTCTCTTTCTCTCTCTCTTTCTCTCTAAAAATTAATAAAAATATTTGAAATATATATCCATCAGATAATATCGTTTGAATCAAGAAAATCAACTAGGTTTTTCTTTGGGGCAGCATTTTCTCTTTCCATTTGTTTTAATTGTGAACATTTCTGAGTGCCTTTTAATGTGTCTCCTCAAAAGAGAAGCCAGATCCAGTAATTTTATGTTTATTGAGTATTCAAAGTAAGTCCCCCAAATATTTACCAGTTAGCCAGTAAAATATGGCTGGTTCGACAAGAGAAAGTCACTGGCTAAACTAGTGTCTCACCATGTCTCTGGAAAAGCTAAAGAACCATGACTTGGTGGAGCCAAACACCAGGTATCTAAGGAGAGCCTTCCCTCTGGGCAGGTGAGTTACTTAACTGGCTGTGTTGATTGCCACTAGAGAACCAAATATACACGAAGACACAGTCGTAGGATGTTTATGTGTGTAGTAAATATAGCATTGTGACTCTGCAAGGTTTTTACTACCATAGAAGTGCAAGTGCTTTGGGTTAGTGCTGATTTTTGTGGGGCATACTGGTAGCCCCTGAAAAGTATGTTCAGTGGAACATCATGGACAAGAAAAAAAGTTCTTCATGGCCCTGGCTGGGTAGCTTAGTTGGTTAGAGCATTGTTCTGATATGCCAAGGTTGTGGGTTTGATCCCCCCCCCTCCTTTCTCTCTCTAAAAATCAATTAAAAGAGGAAAAGTTTTCTGTGACCTGGGTGAGAAAAGAAAGAAAATTACCGGTCTGGCCAGCATTGTTCAGTGATTAGAGCATCGGCCTGTGCACCAAAGTGTCACAGATTCGATTCTGGTAAAGAACACTTATCTGGGTTGCAGGTTCGATTCCTGGCCTCAGTCGGGGCTGTGCAGGCAGCAACCAATGGATGTGTCTCTCTCACATTGATGTTTCTCTCTCTCCCACTCTCTCTCTCTTCTTCCTCCCTCGTTTCCACTCTCTCTGAAAATCAATGGAAAAAATATTCTCCAGTGAGGGTTAAAAGAAAAAGAAAATTACTATTTAAAGACAGAAGGTGAAAAAGGAAATTAAGAGATGAATATGAGGAATGGGGAAGGAGGGACAAGGCACCAACTCCTAGCACAAGGCTTAAAGTGGACACACTCAAAACTAAGTGTGATGTGCCAAAACCGGTTTGGCTCACTGGATGGAGCGTCAGCCTGCGGACTGAAAGGTCCCGGGTTCGATTCCGGTCAGGGGCATGTACCTTGGTTGCGGGCACATCCCCAGTGGGAGATGTGCAGGAGGCGGCTGATCGATGTTTCTCTCTCATCAATCTAGCAATTTCACTCAGAATGTATTAAAGACTTAAATAGAAGAACTGAC